AGCATAGTTCCTGGCACATAGTAAGCTCTCAATAAATGGTAGCAGTTATTCTTAGATTTACTATAGGGAGGACATCATGATCTACTGAAGCTTAAGGCAGACTATCAAGGATTCATTCTTCCCAGGGTTCAGGTTTGCCTCAGAAAAGTGCAGAAGACAAAAGCAAGGAAGAGAAAGAAGAATGTCTTCCATATCACTTCTCAGCTTCCAAAGGTACTATGCTACCATGGATGGGCCTTCCCTTGCTGGGGACCTTTTGGTTTTGAAATGCCGGGAAAGTAACAAGGAACTTTAGGAATGGGGTTACATTTCTGTAGAGCAATCTTCAGGGTTGGAAGGACCTGGAGAAAACTGTTGGTTCCTCTTCCTGAGTCCAGAGAGGCTTGTATTTCAAGCAGTTATAGATTGTTGCTATCCAACATTTGTTTTAAAAGTTTAAAAAAGTGGAGACTCTATAAGGTCTTTTGATAATGTATGATGCTGCCACACAGTGTGAGAATCAGTAAGCTCCTCTTAAGATCTGATTCAAATCTTCATGCTGCAAGGCCTCTGTTTTCTCTCATGTCTGTTTCTGTTAGCAGACTCTGTGTGCTCTCATTTAGACATTTGTCTCCACCCTCACCCATTAATATATTTTGATTTACTGAAATATGAAACTGAGCACTGTGTAAGCTTAGCTGGATCACTGTAAGAACTAGAAACAACGGGGGCTTTGCTCTTGGAAGGTGTTACGAAGCTCCCGACTCAGCTTCCTTCCTTCTAGCTGAAGACAGCCCATGTTCTTAAGTACAGTCCTGGAAAACACAGGGCCCCAATCTGCCACTGCCTTCTAAACAGACGGGGGAAACCCTGGCCATCGAGGCTGAGCATCTGGGCAGCTGTGCCACACACTGGCTTCCTCCCAGTAGACACTCTATGTGTTCACCCAGCTGAATTCACTCGGTGTTCGCCACCTTTTGTCCACCTGTGCCACATCTGGGTGCTGATTTGCACACACCTGGGGGCTGATCTGCTTTAATGCCAGAGCCTCCCCTTCTCAGCCAAGCATCTCAAAAAAGTGATCTATTTTCACTTTCCCCATTTCCTCACCTCCCACTCTACCACTGCAATCCTACTCCAATTAATTAGCACTCTACCACAGGCACTCCTATCAAAGTCACGAATGCTGTCAAACCAAATGGCTTCTTAAAAAAAAAAAAAACAAAAAAACCCAGCTTCTTTTATGTGACCTCTAAAGCAGCAGTTGATATTAACCATTCCCTTCCTTTTGAAAAGCTTCTATCCCTTGGCTTTTTGACTGCCCACATTCCTGGTTTTCCTCCTACCTGTCAGGTTTCTCCCTCTGGTCTCCTTTGTGGTCTCCCACTCCTCAGCCTTCTCTTGAGTATTGATATCCTTGGAGTTTGCTCTTAAGCCTTCTCTCTCTCTCTTTCTCTTTTTTTCTGATGCTATGTACTCTCCCTGGAAGATCTCATCCACCACCCTATTTGCCGTTACCATGTGTGGACTGATAATCCCAAATCTAACTTCCATTTCAGGCCTTGAGCTTTAGACCTATTTCCAGTTGCCTGCAAGATATATTTACTTGCCTTGGCACCTCAAAGTCAATATGTCTTGAGCTGAGCCCATCACTCAACCCTCATCCCCAAACCTGCTTCTCCTCTTCCTGTATTCCTCATCTCAGAGAATGGTACCATCATACCTGGACTTCCTTAATTCTGAAATTAAGTCCAGTCAACAAGTTCTTTGATTTTAGTACCAAGATTTCACTAATCTGTCTAGGTTTCTTGATCCATACTGGTGATACTTTAGGTCTGGCCATTATCATTGCTTGCCTCTGTAACCCGCATAAAGCTGAGCAGCTTTGTGGTCAGTGTCATCAGAGTTGTATCCCAAAGAAACATCATCTGGACATCCAAAAAACATTGGAAAGCGATTTAATTTTTACAGAAGTCATTTGACAAGGTGCTGGGTCATTTATATATATGTTTTGTCCCCATCACACCTGTATTACTTCAACGGCCTCTGAAGTGGTCTCCCTGCCTGTAACACCATTTCCCTCCACTCAATTCTCTATGCAATAGCTAGAATGATCTTTTTAAAAAGTACTTCTCTGCTTAATGTTATTATTGGCTCCCCATTGTCCACTGGATAAAACTTCACCTTGTCATCCCCATTTACCTCTAGCTTCATCTCTCACTACTTTTTCATATTCTTTGCACTAAACTTTTGGTATTGGCATACGTGTTAACTGTGCCTGCTGAGCACTTACTATGCATATCCAAAGAACATACAGTCTACCTTGGTAGACTAGTTGGGTACAGTTTGGCAAGAGAACAGATTGCATTCTTAAATGCAGTGATACTAAATTTTTGTAAGAGAATGAAACAACAGTGAGGATTAGAACCATCAGGGAAGCATCCCCTGGAGGAGGTGAGCTGTGAGAAGGATGGAGAATGGGATTTGGAGCCCAGAGATAATTCCAGACTAAGGGAATGGGACCATGAGAAGTAAGCCCCTAATAAGGGTGGAGGGTCATAATCTGGTCACTGAGGTAGAGATCATTACAGACTCATTGTTTTATGCCAGCCTAAGAGGAAAAATTCTATTACTCTTTAGGGTGCTTTAAACACAGAACAGGAAATAATGGACAGCAGCAAAGAAAGCTGCCAAATAATTTGGACATGAAGCCTGCTTTCCCTCCCAGTCAGCCTTGCTAATTTCTAATACCCACCACCCACCCTGCCCCATTCAACTCCCCATCCACCCCCCAAAACTACTGTTTTTCTTTTTAAGAGATTTAATTTATTTATTTGAGAGATAGACAGCAGGAGCAGCAGGAGGGCCAGAGTGAGAAGGACAAGCAGCCTCCCCAGTCAGCGTGGAGCCAGATGTGGGGCTCCATCCCAGGACCCTGAGACTATGACCTGAGCCGTAGTCAGACACCTAACCGACTGAGCCACCCAAGTGCCCCAAAACTACTGTCTTTCTAAAGCCGATGTTGTGTAAAATAAAGAGAAGGGAGGGCATCGGGGAAACTGAGGCTTGGAATGAAATGCCATAGGGAAATTATATCTCTTGGTTACCAGGGTTCCTTTTCAATGGGCTACACTCTACATCCCAGCCTGAAAGGGATGAGGTAGCTTTTATTGTGGCAATTATGGCTAGCAACTACCATGTGGGAAAGAACCCTTCTCCTGGTGATGAGGATCATATGTTTGCTCTATTTAGACAAAGAATTCTCTTTTGAGCATAACTTTTCCACACAGAATCAAAGAAGTTGTTTAGACTTGACTGATTGCAATACTAAGTGTCCTATTTTAAGTTAAAAATATCCCACAAGTGAATCATATATGTGCATCTTCTCTTTTTCGTCCCCCTCCTCCATAGAAACACATTCACACCCTTCCTTACTGCCATAAATAATGCTCCTTTTCCTTGCCTTCTGCGGATTTTGCATCATGGAAAGTTAGGCTGCTCTACGACTTGATAGCCTGATTCACTCAAATCTCTCTGAAGAATGGCTCATTCATTGGGCCAGTTTTCCAGGCCTTCCAATTCCCCTTTTATTTTTGTAGTTGACTATATCTGACTACTTTCTGCCTCTCTGGAGTGTGGTAGGGGCACATAGAGAAGAAGAAACTCCCCAAATAGGCACATTTCTAGTGTTTTATAGCCATGCATATGTTGGACAGGGATGGGAGTGGAGAATAGAGCTAACGACTATAGCAAGGTTTCCGCATGATGTGTTCACTTAAGTTCCCCTGTGATCCTAGGTTCCAGGTGGTACAGAGAATGAAGCAGCAGGAATGTCCTGACCGTGGAGGATATTGCCGGCGGCCCACCCATGCAGCAACCCTCTATTCCTTGCCAAGAGAAGCCCGATTTTGGTTCAAGAATTAGGTAGCAATATGCTTTGGGAAGGTGACCCTGTTCCAGAGGGTCTGAATCCATTTTGGTGATCCCCATTTCCCCTTTTAAGGGGACTTTAAGGGGACTCCACCAGTGACTGGTGGAGGCAAGAGCACTTGACTCGATTCCTGTCCGTGTGACACAAGAAGGAAATCTGCGGGCATTTTTCTCACCTCTGATCACCTCACCATGTGACATCAGGAGACTTTATTGTTGAAACTATTTTTTAGGTACATGTTTCATTATTTGCAGTCAAAACCACCCTGTCTGATACACTCACTAACTACTCCTAAAATTCTCAACTTCTACTCTAATTCATTTGAAAAGAGCATCTAATAATCTACTTCACCAGAGTCACAGATTCATGGACGATAAGAGCACGAAAATCCCTTTGAGGCCTGTCTATAGTCTATTTCTCTCATTCTAAATACCAATCTCTTCGTGTCCGCAGACTAGGGAAGACACCCACAGGGTGCTGGAATTGTGCTGTATGCTCTCTAATCTCTCTACGTGTCGAATCCCGATTTTGTACAAATGTGGTAAAATCAGAATTTTCGACTCAGGTGAAAGTTACGCTGAACTTTCCCTTTTGTTCTGACAAAGAGCTTTCCTAAACAAATGTAAACTAGATCTCAGAGGGAGCATCGCTTCTACCTAAGACTTTCAAATGCCCTAAAGATAGCTGTTTACATACACATGAATAACAAGTCATGCTTACATATACATTACAAAAGATTTCCAAGGACTTTGGTCGTCAGTGCTCTTCCGAATGTGAGTCACTGTATTATTTAAAAATAATAAAATTATGTATCTTGGAAAATATTCCACAAAAGACTGGCCTTACCCTCCAATTAATTTAACTTTGAGAGCCTTCATTCTTATTCTTATGCCAACATTCCACCTAGCATTACTCCCAAGGGAGTTTTTCTGAGGAGGAAAAAAGGAACTTACAGAAAGAGAAACTTCTGCTATCTGGTGTTATAAAAGATACACCAGGCTTCCTTTCTACGTAATTTCTGCATGAGAAAATTGTTATCCATTTCCATGATGCCAAATGGTGATAGCGCTTGAAAACCAGCGGTGCCTACCTGAGTGATGTCCATTCCCGAGTCACAGCTCAGTGGCTGTGTGGAAGTCAGACCGTTTGAGCCGATTACAGTTGTGATCACCGCTTTCTCATCAATTCTCCGAATCATGGTCCCATCCACGAAGTAAATGAATCCATGCCTATCAACTGTGATGCCTGTTGGGAAAGAGCAAATGAGCATTAGTAGTCTAGTGGGTCACACTTGCACCAAGATCCGTAGTTTGAAAGAAGCCATAGAAATGGAAAAGCATTTTAAAGACATATGGATTCAATTTTGCTCAGCACAGACAGGACAGTAATGGGAGAGGTCTGTTCGGACACACATTCACTTCTTTGTGTATTGAGAAGAAATGATAAAATGTAACGTGAGGAAATAAAGCCAGGTCTAACCAAAAAAAATTGTCTAGCTTTACATTGCCACCCCTCCAATACTTGCTTAGCCCCACAAACAGAAAAAAAATCCTCTTTAAGATAAATGGGAAAAGGCAGAAGAGGCAGGGTATGTGACATTCCTTTTAGGCTGTAGATGCGCAGGCCGCCACTTATTTTCATAGGTGCATTAGAAATAACTGACCTGGAAAGCATTAAAGTTATTGTCATCAATTCACACTCAGCCCACAGAGACTTTGTAATAATTCTGATAAACTGGACTGAGTTTCTTCCTCTGTATTACCTATTCAGAGGAGTTTGGAGAGCAAAATGATGGTGTCACAAAGGGAATGGTTAAACTTCTAGAAAAAAATGAAAGCCAATAAAATTCTCACAGTAGCTTTTACACATTGTGTTAATTACAGCCTGGTGTTTTGGAAAATATATAATAGCAGTTAGAAGGCTTGGGTTCTAATACTGAACACATCATTTACATCTCCTGTGTGATTTTGAGTCATTCGTCTAAATTGTAGCCTCCTCTTCGGTAAAATATGGAAAAGATTATCTGCTTGTGATATTGTGATTTATAATAAGAAATATATATTTGACCTTCGTCCCTGATTTTAGCACAGAGCTGCTAAAACTCTGGAAATTTCCAAAGGGGCAAGAGAGATAAAGGTGTCTTTTGTTATGCTAATGAGGTGGTTTTTGGACTGCATCTAAAGATGGGTTGGTTGCCAGGAGAACCATCATGAATAGAGGGTTGGAACTTTGAGTCCCGCCCCCAGACGTCTGTGAAGGGGAGAGGGCCTGGAGACTGAGTTCAATCACCAATGGCTAATGGTTTAATCAATCATACCTATGTAATAAAGCCTCTACTAAAAACCCAAAAGGACAGGCTTTGGAGAGCTTCCAGGTTGGCGAACACATGGAGATTTGGGGAAAGCAGTGCAGTGCGCCTGGAGAAGGCAAGAAAACTCCATACCCTCTCTCACATACCTTACCCCATGTGGATCTTTCATCTGGCCATTTCTGACTTATAGCCTTTTTTGATAAACGGATCTTTCATCTGGCTGTTTCTGACTTATAGCCTTTTATGATAAACCAGTGATCTAGTCAGTGAAAGGTTTCTCTGAATTCTGTGAGCTGCTCTAGCTCATTAATTGAACCCAAGGAAAGGGTTGTTGGAACCTCCTTCTTCTGGTTGGCCAGAAGCACATGTGTGTGGGGGGCAGTTTTGTGGGACTGAGCCCTTAACCTATGGGATCTGACCCTTTCTCTGGGTCGATTGTGTCAGAATTGAGTGAAACTGTAGGACACACAGCTGGTATGGGAGAACTGCTTGCTGGTGGCATGGAGGGGAACCCCCACCCACCCTGGAAACTGGGTCTCAGAACATTGTTTACTGTAGCCTTACCTAAGCTAAGGTGACCAACCGTCTTAGTTTGGGACTGAGGCTGGGTTCAGTTTTAAAACTGGGACAGTTCTGGACAAACTGGGATGAGTTGGTTACTCTTTGCCTAGGTTGTTATAAATATCATATGAAATAATACATTTAAAAGTGTCAGACACATATAAAGAACATATGGCTCAACTCCTGCTTCCCTTGGTGCTTTTGATAGTGCTCTTGAAAATAACCACATGGCATTACTTTAAAACTAGTCTACAATTTAGTCTTTTCCTACCTCTCCTTTATCCAGTGGATATTAAAGTTCCAAACATCTGTGATAACAAGCATGTCCTTTTGGCGTGTGTGCACACACATTCACACACACAGTCATTTTCCTGGTAAAGAGTGTTTATAAACCCAACTTAATAGACTACTTTCAGATGAACTAATTCATTGGCAGGAGGTTAATATTAAGACTTGGCTTTATGGTGTACTTTGATTAATCCTGATGTTCCTCATGAAGCATTAATCCTTAGTATCTATAAAAGTTACAGATTCATTTTAACTTTCCCTGAATACCTCTAAATTCATCTATGTTTTGGAGGGCTCTCCAAGGAAACCAGCATGTCCAAACAAGGGGAAGTTCATGTTGATAAGTCCCTTTTTCATTTGCAGATACAGAAGGACCTTTAAGGAGGTTTTTAAAAAGACTTTTAAGATTGAGCAAGTCAAAGGATGGCGGCACACGAGAGTTTCTTACATCTCTAGGACATTTGGGCTGAGGATGAACCAAGGGGTACCTCTGCTTTACGTTTTTTTTTTGTTTGTTTGTTTTGGCAAAATCAATTTCTCGAATGCCTACTATTTGGTCTGCTTTGTGGCAGGCCTATGATTACCTTCTATGACCTCTGTATTAAATATCAGTGAGTGTGAAATTTAAAATTTGCTTGTCACAAGAGGATGGACTCCTCTTGAGGAGTTGATCTTGATCTCTTGGCATTTTGCATGGCCAAATACTCTGATCTTTGCTGTTACCTAATTTGAAATTTGAGCTACTATCAAGAAAGGCTTGATAGATCAAGACTCAGGTCTAGAGAGGGAAAGGCTGAGAGTAGCTTAGCTTGAAGTGTTTGAAATCATGAAGTATTTACCAAATACATACTGAATGTCACTGTGCCAAGTCCCGTGAAAGCCAAAGGACAAAGAATCCAGATGCACAGAAACTAAGAGGAATACCCTGCAAGTGTTGCTCTAAGGAGGAGGCAGTAAATTTAGAGCTTCCAATCCCTTGAAAATTGGAACAGATTCACAAAAGGTGTAGAGAAATAAATGTATTCCTTGAAAATTGGGGGGGGGGGACAAAAGGTATAGAGAAATAAATGTATTCCTCCCGAAACGAGTGTATTTGCGGGGGGGGGGTCCTTCCATCTTTGTGTAGACACCAGGGAGGACAATTCTGTTCCTTTGACAACTGCATTCCTCATCCCCATCAGAGGGTGAAGTCTGTTCCGATCCAGGGAGGATAATCCTGAACTTTACATGGTTTTTCCACTTTTAATTTTTGTTTACTTCTGAACAGTGTGAACTGTTCTCTGTTCACGTCCACTGATTTCCACAGATGAGGCTTATTAAATCCTCACTGTTGGCCTTCAGGGCTTATTTGGCTGACGAGTTGTAGGATATTCTCCTTTCATATATTTGTGTAGCAATTTCTTTGATCACGGTCCAAATTGCAAAAGACTCTGTTTTTCCTGAGACTCTTTAATTAAATTTGATGGGGTAATACTTATGTTTGGAGTTGAAAAAGAAATAGTAGGAAGGTCTTTGAGGGGCTGTGTGATAGATGTTTTATTAGTGCATCTAGGTATGTTTTATATGTACATATTTTCATTTCCTTTCATTTTCCTTCCCCAGCCAACCAACCAACCAACCAACATACACACACACACGGATTCCCCAAACAACTAGTTTTACAAACTCTTCACTGGCGAGGTTTGAGGGGTATTTAGTTTTCAGTGAGGTTAAAAACCAAATTGAAAATCCCAGGCAGGAAAAGGAGAATTCTTTTTGCCATTACTTGGGAGGGGGTGGTCTCCCCTCCCATAATGAGTATTGTCGTAGCCCAAGGATGTCGATGATGCAGTCAGCATGATGTATTACCGTGTGTTAGGCTGAGTGGGAGAAGGTGGCACATGCCCCGTGTATTTTAAGCTTTATCTTTCAGGGACGGGGATGTGAGTGATTTCAGAGCACATAAAGCCATCTGGGGCTAGCGAGATCTGCAGACGCAACTGATTTTCGTGTTTTGATATTATTGTACCCAGATTTCCAAAATTTGGTACCTAATGCTGTGGGCATAATTTGTTCCAATGGCCACATCTGTTGATGTACTTCCTGACAGCATTTTCATTACCGCTTAAAACACAATGGCTAAGAAAGGAGTTAAATTGCATTGAGAAGACCACTTCCAGGGTTTAAAATTTTAACCAGTATTCATTTTTAGAGCAAGCAAGAAAATATAGATCTCTGATGTTGCCACAGGGTTAGGCAGTGGGTGGTGGGGGGAGGTAGGAAGAACAACACAGACAGCTTGAGCCCCCACACCACCCCACCTCCAGTAAGGAAAACACTGGGCTCAGACGCCCAGACAGCATGTTTAGCTTGGAGCACATTTTTACATTTGCGAGAAAATAAATAAATCCTTGTAAATTAGTGCATATAATGAAAGCACTGACAGACCATAACCTGGAAGTGTGAATGGTGCTGTCTCCATTCATCAGCATTAAGCCCTAACAAGCTCTTTCTATGGAAAGACCTGCTCATAAATAAAGTGCATCTTGTAAAAAAAATTATTCACCACATCTTATGCAAAGTAGGGGACATTATATAATATCTGAACTGCAGGCCCTCTTTTCTCTGTGAAGCGTAGCTCTGTATGAAACAGCGGCAAATCACAGGTGAAATTATTTGACTTCTTCCCTTGTCTTATTTTCCTCCAATGAATAAATGTTATAATTCTGCAGAAGACAATTGCCTAAAGCTGGGGCAGCCTGGACAGTTACTAATAAATGTATCACCTGTTGGGGAAGAGGACACTGCTGATCGATACTGGAGCAGGCAGGGATTTCCTGATGTGAGGTCGCTGTGAGTCCAGATGTGGAGGTTAATAGCCCGGAAATAGTGGCTCAAATCTCAAATTAGGTAACAGCACAGATCAGAGATGCCAATTTCAAATGTTGGCAGAAGGCATCTTTGTATTTAATTTATAAAAATTACAGCTGTTGAGGCCCACCTACATTTTTATTATTTCTATATTAAAAATGAACCTTCTTTCAGAATATAGGCTTTGGAAAGTAGTCATAAAATTCTCTCCATCTAGAGCCCTAGCAACCGGAAA